GTTGACAGAGTCTTCATTATTCTACATGGATGCCATCGTGAGGGGCCATGACAAAAAAAATCAAATAAGTAGGCAGAGAAATTTGTACTCTGGTATAAAAATGCAAGTTCCCTTAGAGAGGATTAATTCCTGTTCATGGAAGAGCAAGCAACCTGTGAACCAAAGAAAAACATGACAAGGAAGACTGAAGACTTTCCTCTCCATATGTAGTCAATCCACACAGGCAAGAAGGGGGAACAGAATTTTATTGAGAATTTATTATATACTGTGAATTGTAAAAGGAGTTTTGTTCTGTTTTGTTTTGAGGCAGGGTCTTACTCTGTAATTGAGGCTGACCTTGGACTCACTACGCAGCCCAGGCTGACTTTAAACTCATGCCTCAGCTTCCTTAGTGCTGGGATTATAGGAGTGTGCCACCACACCTGGCCCTAACCATGCAAAGTTTTTAAAGACGCTTTCATTTTATTCCAATAGTGTTCATAAGTTTGCTCATAAATGACTTTTCTATCCTGTTTTACAGAGTAAAAATCTAAGACTCGGGGATTAAATAATTGGTCCAGTTTACACAAGAGCTAGGAATGCCAGACTTTGAAAGGCCCAAAGCCAGTTAGTATTATAAGACTAGCTCAGTTTACTCTAACGCTACAAAGTTCCTATAATCAATGTAATAGAGTGAGCATGAAATCTAGACTCTAGCAAAAATAAATAAATAAATAAAAGATTTCTACATACTTAGTCATGATCCAAATCTTGTGTGACTTTCCCAGCCTCTAGAGAGGCACATGTGAATGGAAACACGTATACGTATGAAGTCTGAGGATGAGGAGAGAGGTGTTGCTTCTTATTATTAGTAAAATAAACTCTATCATGTTTCAAATAGGGAAATAAAGCTGTCAGATATGGCCCTGCAGACCAAATTCAATGGTCCCAATGTAGAACATCCACTTATTCCACTTTTGTCACAAAGATCAATGATGTTTTTTTGTAGTCTAAGTGATATACTGAAATAAATTGAATCCACATTTGTTCAAAGAAATACTATGGTATTGCCTCCCCCATTAGGAAGAGTGACAGCGCATGAGAACATGTCATGTGAGAACTTGCAGAAGTTTCAGTGTGTATTTTCTATAAACCTGCAATCATAATAAAACATTTGAGAAATTGGTGAATACACTGTTTATTGAAATTTGCTTTCCAATATCAAAGAAATCAAAACTCTCATTAATATTTCCAAAGCTGGTTTTTCTGTGTTATTGTTTTCTGTGGTGCCCTTACAGTCATGAAATAAAAGCTGTCTTGCAGGTGTGTATGAAAACAATTCTCCATGGGTCTATTATATTCCTGTATATCTTGAAAGAAAATCGTTGACCCTTGTTCCACAAGATCTTTTCAAGGAAGTTTGCATCACAACCAGCCTTTGAATATAGAAAGTGTTTCTCCTGAGCAAAGAACAAGTTTGCTTGCAGTTTTTGAAGCTGGAAGTAGTGTCTCCCTCTGGAAATAAGAGCGGGCATGCTTAACGATCATGACAGAATATTTTAATTCCCTAAACACGGAATTCCCCTCATGTAACATCATTCACTGTCTCTACTAACCCAGTGAAAATTGGAACCACTCAAGAATGTGGCTCAAAAATGCTGACACTTTGATTTTTATATTTTGCAAATAAGAAATTGCTCTTTGTCTCTGACCCGGGAGCCCTGTGTCTTCTACCCACACCTATGAAACTGTGATGGACTTAATTTGTTATCTTGCAAGTAGAGGAAAATCTCAGCCCCTTCACAGTTCTTGACACCAGACATATGTATGACCTTTTGTAAGGAATTAAGTATTTCAATAAATGCATGCTTTGCGTGTGTGTGTGTGTGTGTGTGTGTGTGTATGTGTGTGTTTCACTGTAGTTGTTTGGAAAAATAGATACAATAGGATTAAAAAGCAGTTCATGAAGGTAAAATAGGAAGGGAGAAGTTACAATGACATTCAGCTCTTCTTTCAAAGTTAGATTTAAAGTTTTTCCTATTCTTTTGCCCAGAGCTTCTCGCTTTTGGAAAAAAAAAAAGTTAACTTGTAAACATTCATGCTCCTGGGAGTGGAAATACACTAAGCTAGCTAATGATCATTCATATTTCAAGGTAGTCAGTTCTTCCCTCTCTCCATCTAATTGGAAGCACCACCAAGAAAGAATAGTTTGTTGTGTTTGTAGAGGAATAAAGGGAAGGAGAACAACAACAACAATGACAACAAAAATAGCACAGGTGATATTTAGCCCACATTATCTCCTCTCATTTGGGCAGCTAGAACGGAATAGGACTGTAAGACAGTCAGCCTTTTGTACGTCAGCCTTTTGTCACTATAGAGGTATACTTGGGATGGGCTAACTTTATTTTTAAAATAAGTTTAATTAGCTCACAGCTTGGAGGTTCAAGGGAATCAGTTTAGGCTTAGTTCTGGCCAGAGCTCCCCAGTTGTTCTCATCGTAGTAGATGGCAACGATAGCAATGGGAGGATTATATGGCTTAGCAAGTGATAATTTGGTGAGGCAGGAACCTGGAGATCTGAGTGGCACCAGGCTTAGGCTTTTATAACAGCCCTCTCAGAAGAACTAGTTAGGGTCCTAGAAGAAATACTTACATCCTTTTTGTAGGCACAACCTCAATTGACCTAAGGATATGCCTCTAAGCCCCATCTCATAAAGATCTACAGCACCGCCCAGTACCTCTACCCTGGGGACCAAAGTTCCAACGTGAACCTTTAAGGGAATAAACTATGTAAAAACCATAGCACTTACCTAGAGGGAACTATCACAAAAATGATATTGGATAGTCACCAAAGATCAACCACTCCCATATCCCAAGAGATCCTCCCATAACCATAGTTCTAAAGTGCCTAGAATTTTCATTGAAATGGTCCATTGCATTTTGGCATTATCTCTTGACTCTTTGAAGATGAGTTGTGCAGTGAATTCGGAGAGTTAAAAACATCTTTTATCGCTTTCAACTCTACTTTTAAAATATTGACATAATCTAGAGGTATAATTGTAAGAAATACAACTATAAACATTTGTTGCTTTCCTTTGTAAAATTAGTCTCAAGGAGCTATGCCTTCACAAAGTTAAGATAGCTCAAACTTCATGAAATTAAGTCTATAACCACAATTGCCAAGTGAGTCACTTAAGTTTTTTTTCCAGCTCGATAGAAATAAAACAGTATTGCTTTGAGACTGAAAAATAGTCCTAGAAAAATAAATTTATAGATCTGTCATACAAATTTTATCACTTTTCCTATAATTGAGTAAAACAAAACTATATTTCTTTCTACATAATCAAAAAAAAATCTGTAACTCTATCTTAAGACTATTAACTTATTCCTTGATACAAAAATAATGCTGTGTGCATCGTAGACTTCAGTAAATATTTGCTGATTCAAATTTAACTCAATTTTATAGACAATCCACTATAAACACATGCACACACAGAGTATGTGTGAACTGAGTTCTGTGTTCAAATGACCGCTCTCCCTTTTTTCAGCTAAAAAGTAATCCATGTGATTTAATTTTTCTTTTTCCCACGTATTTTATTAGTTTGTGTTAATTGTACAGAATATTGGATTTCATGGTGGCATTTTTATATATGCATATAAAATTCTTTGATCATATCCATCCCCCATTGTACCCTTCCTTACACTCCCTCGCCCCATCCCCTTCCTCTGGTCAAATAGTCTCCCTCTCTTCTATTCATCCTTTTATTCTAGATTTCATATGTGAAAGAAAGCATGGGAGTCTTCTCTTTCTGAGTCTGGCTTATTTTGCTTAACATGATGATCTCCATCCATTTTCCTGCCAATGGCATGATTTCATTCTTCTTTATGGCTGAATATATATATAGCGATATAACTATGTACATATGCATACATATGCATATATAATAGATATCACTTTTTCTTTATCTATCATCCATTTATGAGCAACCCAGGCTGATTCCATAACTTAACTATTGTAAATTGTGCCATGGTAAATGTGGGAATGCAGGTATCCCATTGGCATGCTGACTTTCATCCCTTTGGGTATAAACCCAGGAGTAGCACAGCTGGATTGGATAGCAGTTCTAGCTTTATCAACCTATCTCTTACATACATAATTTCTTTTAATACTGTATTTTGTTCTGCCAAAGTAAGACATTACAAAATGTTTTTAATTAATGCTTCTTTCATGCAATGTGTTGTATTTTGTCAGCTTCACATCACTTAGCACTGTTCTGGATTTGACTTCTTTGTTGAATATAAAATGTAAATCTTCATTCAAGGATAAAATAAGGCCATATATTATTCCATATATTAGGGCTTTCTTTTCCATTATGGTAAAATATCCTCATTTAGGAAACCACCATTGGGCAGATATTGAATATTGCTCTGAGAATCTTTCAGTTCACCGACCTAATTGTTACTATTCATCTCTGAAAACCTGTGGCTGGGTCATTCATGAAGCATATGGCATTATTTTCTAAGAAGGGAAAAACTGGGCAAAGAAGAGAGAAAGACAGAGAGGGAGGGTGGGAAGCAGAGAGAAACAGAGAGAGAGAGTCACATACAAAAACTATAGAAAATGCCTTTGCTCAGGGAAGCCAATGTATATGTAGATTTTGTACTCTCCTACAGTGTGATCGTCAATGACAAAGTCTCAAAAAAAGTTCTCATCCACATTGTTTTATTCTACAGACAATCCACTACACACATGTCCTCACAGAGCATACATATAGATATAAACATGTATTGAGAGGAATTATTTTTGCTGTTGCAATATGGCTGTGAGTGGTAGAGACTTCCCTGTGATTCAAAACTGCATGGTTCAGAGCCTGAAGTAAGACAGCTAAGAGCCCTTCAGTCCCCAGCTGAGCCACCAAGGAGCTTCTGCGGGAGTCAGGGGTATTAGAAAAGAAAGAACAAGTCCTATTTCGAAAATCACCACCACCACTACACCTGCCCCATGGGAAGCTAAAACAACTGAAGGCTATACTTTCAGGGATCGTTTCTATATTTGGTTACTAAAGTTTCTCTTATCATGTAGAGTACCAGAAACCACAAGCAGGAGGTGTAGTGTTCCTTCCTGAGTGTGAAGCTGGCTCTTGGTGCTGCTTTGTTGCAGCTGCCACTGGCCATTGATGATTGTTCTTGTTCCCTCTTCCACAGGAGTAAGAGGGAAGGAACACAGTCCGGCTGGCTTCTGTCTTTTCCAGTGTTGTGAAAAACAGTTTTCTGAGTCCTACCTGGAGGTTCTATCCAAGGAAGTTTCTTGAGGGTAGGACCTTAGACGTAACAGTTTCTGTAGTAGGCAAGGTCTACATATGGAGTCCTTTGTTAGAAAACAGCATTAAAGAGCAACTATTGACCTTGAGTTCAATCCCCGGAACAAAAAAAAGTTTTTTTGTTGAGAGTTACTTATTTGTATTTTTGTTAGATAAGTGCTAGTACATAAAAGTTGAGAAGTGAACATTTTAGGATGTCAGAACAAAGGTCACCTTTTTCTCTTAAGGTCCTTAGTCACTTGCAAAACTGGAGTTCATAATTTAAAAAAAAAAGATAAAACAACTGATGAAGAAGGGAGGGTGCGGACAGCCTCTTGTAGAGAGCATAGTGTTGATGCTATTTCCCATCCCTCTGTGTCCTCTTTATTGGATATAAACTTTAAAGAGAAAGCAGTTATTTAGGGCCACAATTTGACTCCTTCACTTGAAACGTCTTCATTTGTAAATTTAAACTCCATTGAGGAAGGGAAAGAGCTTTGAAGTGGATATGAGAGTGAAATTTCTAAACAGATCTGGACTAATTTGTAACTAGTGACTAGTAAATTATAAGTATCTCCAAGGTGCTAGTAAGGATGAGAAAGGAGGAATTGCTATAAGAGAAGCTAATGCTTGATAAAATAAAAGTATGGGATGTATTTATACTTCAGTAATGTAAGGCCCCTCAATTGACCACAATGCTTTGATTGGATCAAAAGATAAATGCTACACTGTGTTCATGGCACAAGCAATGATTACACATCCACAAAAGACAAAATGAAGTCCCCCGGTGTCTGAGAAATACAACCAATTCGCAAGTATATTTCTCTGCCTGCAACCTTGGAAGATTTTTCCTAAACACTTTCTGATGTCTTTATTATGATGCTAAAAACTAGATTTCTGGAGTTTTTAACTGAAGGAAAGAAGAAATACACTCTTTTGTGCAGGACAGGGCTAAGGTGGATTTCAGGAAACGTTTGATCCCATTTGATCTTTAAAGGGTGATACATAAACAAGTAGATACAGATATAGTTGATTATTAGAGTTAAATGTTAGAAAGTTTCAATTAAAATAGCCTACTCTCGTGAGTTTAATGTTTTTCAAAGCAAGGATGTTTATTTTTAAAAATATAACAGTTTGGAGGATATAAGAATTTCCCACTATTATATTCACATAAACCTAAGGCATGTTGCCAGAATCAGCTACAAAATCAAGTACAAAACTGGTGTGAAAGAAAATCTAAGTTCTATTTCCCTTTCTTGACAGTTTCCTCAACTAGAAAATGATGGGTTTGGCATAAATCTCTAAGGTACATTCCAACTCCTGCAGCCTAAGATTCTTACATGATAAAGTAGGAAGGAGAACCTATAAAGTTCAGTTGTTTGTACAAAGCGAATCTAAATTAGCCAGGGCTAAGGTTATGTCCACATGATGTCACCTAATCAGTTGAAAAGTGAAGATCTCAGGCAAACCACAGATTTGCCACTGCACTGTGGACAAATGGCAGGACAAAAAAACCCTATTCTTCAATTAAAACAAAATAGCGTGTTTAAATATGACCTAAGATTTCTGATATTCCTCAAGACCCACAGTCTTCTTTCCAATATAAACTAAACCCTAACAAATTCCCTTCTAGGAGTGCAAAGTCTGTGGATACCAATGGCATTTCCTCTGGGCTACATTCCCCGAGGAGGTCTTTGAACCTCAGCTTTTGGGAATTTTGCAATTTTAAATTAACCTCACTGAATATTAAGAGATGAGCAGACCTTATTCTAATTTCTTCTTTTCACATACAAGGACACTGAAGCTCAAAGCCTCAGTTTTTACCCGACCCTGGCACAGATTTCAGCAGTGTTGGCTACTACACTACAGTTTCAACTCCTTAAATTCTTTAGAAAATATTAAGTTCCCTATGTTTCTCTCACTTAAGATTGGAGCCCAAACTACCAAAACTATCACAAAAAAAAAACCCACTTTTCTATAAAGACTAGAAATGGTATGCTGCGGCAAGGGAGAAAGATGTGGGGAAAAGAAGCATGATAAAAAGGAGATTTTTTTTTGTATGTGGTTTGATAAATTTCTAATCAGGTGATTTGTCATTTTTTGAGCTGAGGGCAATAGAAGCATAATTTCAGACTCCCCAAGGCTCCACATTTGATTAAAGATAAACCAAAATGGACTTTAAAAAATAAGTCCCTGAAGGGATACTTTGTTCTATTTCTCTGAAGCAAGTCCAAAATCAACAACAAGGAAAAATAAACTGCTAAAGGATGGAATGTCTTATTCTGGATTAGTTTGGTCAAGATTTAATTCAATTTAATTTAACTCAACAAATTTTTATTAAGTAGTGATATGTGGAAGGCGCTATCTCTTTTATTTTTCTGTCTCCTGACTATGTCTCTGAGCTTTAGAAGTTGGTTGAACAGCAAGTGACAGGGTACGTAAATCAGAGTTTGGGATTATATTTGGCTCTTGAAAACTAAACTCTTTGTACTTTCTCAACTAGCTAGTTTCAAGCGAAGACATGATGTTAGAAAAATGTCAGTAACAAATGAAAGTCGGTGCTGTTACTGACATTGTAGTATTTCTGTTTTACCGAGTTCATGAGCCACCCCCTCAATGTTCCAATGGAATGAATATGTATACGGGGGGAGGAGGGTTCTCATTCCCTTGATTGCCTGAGAGCTATAGCTCAAAAGCTACATTTAAAGTATGTAAATGAGAGCTATTATAATCACTTCGTTAAGGTACACAGAGCCATCCTTCAAGAGCGTGCAATGTAAATGTCCCCACCTTTATTACGGCAGTAACATAAGCTCCAGCTTACTTGTCTCAAGCAGGTGGCAAATTCAGTGTCTAGGGAAAGTTTTAACCTAAACATTACTAAGTCCAGGAACATTACTTTATCATCAAAGTAATTTTGGATTTACAAGCATAAACAACTAAAACCAGAAATGCCGATATTAAATATCTCTTAATTTGAACTTGCAAAATGGATGCTAATATTTTATAAGTCTATACAAATTTGTATTCATCGACACAGGTATACAGGTTTTACTATGAGATTATTGTATTAGAGTTTTGCATTTCATTATTAACTCCTCTAGAAAAGTATTAATATTTGGACAAAATGTTAGAATTGTTGAACACTTTGTTCCCCATAGGATGTTCACTGACTTTATAAACACAGGTATTAGGTAGTTTAAACTCACCACATCAACAAGGGACAAGAAGTCCTAGGAGGAATGACTCTCATTAAAAGGCAGGGAGAAAAAGAAATGTAAAAGTGATGGTTCATCAGGTCTGACAATAAGCACATGGTATATTCCAGGGATGCTTGGGACCAAAGCAAAGCATCCATAGAGCTCCTGCCCCAGGATCCCACCTTGATCAAATTATCTGCCCAGTGTAACATTGTTGAAGGGCTGAGTCCACACTGGATGAGAGTATAAGGATGACACTTTGTTTTGAACTCGTCTTTATCACTTCTGGTCCTTTCTAGCCCAGAAGATGACAGAGGAATGCCAATTGCAACCTCTCCATCTCTCTCAGCCAAAGCAACACAGCGGGTTATGGACCCACCACATGGTACAGAGATGGAAGACCCTGTCCCGATGGAGGCAAGCTTTAGAGAAAAGCCTTTCTCTGCTCTTTGTTTTGTACAAGAGGTATCTGTGCACATAGCACCGTGGGGCTACAGAGCTAGAAAAACCAGACACTCTTGTCTCTGTCCCCTTCCAACTGCCTGGCATGGAGTCGCTACACCCAAAGCAAGTTCTGTGCCTTTCTCTAAAAACTTGAAGCGGTAAAACCCATGTCACCATGTGATTATAAGAATTAAATAGTAAAATATAAAAATATTTTGAAAACTCAATGGGCTAATTTTATTTTTCCTCTCCTCAAATAGACCTATCTATTAGTGGGATCTGGGCAGAGGTAGGTTTAAGGATGAAGGTTTGTGTCTGTGTAACTGGATGTGTTGTTTGCTACTGAATTCAAACTTGTCTGTGAATGAGTCTACATGGAACTCTGCCTACATTCAAAAGACAAACTCTAGTTGAGATCATTAGAAATGCAACGTAATCCGAGCTGAAACTGTCTTTGTTGCCGTAATTAATTGCAAGGTTATCACTAAGCAGTACAATGGTTTGGCTCAACTGGAGTTTAAAGGAAGGGGAAATTGCAAGTCATTACACAGGGCTCAGTGCACAGAACCTGAAGTCAAGTTAGGAAGTGCTTCACAGGGATGGAACATCAAGCGGGGAATCACTGACTCTGTAGAAGGAACTGTTATTTTCTGCAGTTGGAAAAGATGCAACTGGCTGGAGTATCTAAACCCAAAAGGGTTGTGGCTGTCAATTACAGCTTTCTCAAGTGATGTGATGCTTTCAGTTAAAAAAATTTTTTTTTGTTTTTGCACATCACTACATAGCCACATCTCATGTGGTTTTTCCATGTCTCCTCACATAAAAGAAACTTTTGAAGAAAAATAAAAACTCAAAATATTTGTCCCTTACCTGATCTAAAATAAAACACAATTATGAATGAAAGCAAGAGGGAACACCAAGAATCAAACCTTTAATTTTTTATTTTTAAACTTTCACATAAATCTCAATTTTCTGGTTCTTTCAGAGCTTAGAGGTACTTAAAAATTACAGAGAAGAATGTGTAGAATCCCTAGGCGGACAACAAGACATACATATTCCTTGCCAAAATTTTTTTCAAAAAGAAAGAAAAACAATTTTGAGATTTCCCAAACATCTATTACCATGGTTCTGATTACAAAGAATGCAAACATAAAAATCTTTCAATTGCCCCATAATAATTACTCTTTCTTCAGGACAGGAGCTCCAAACTAAATGAAATATTTGTTTATGTTCACGGTGTAAAATATGTCAATGTTTTGCTTTAGTTCTGATTTACTCGGTTTAAAAAAAAAA